AAAGAATGATGCCAATCTTTCATTTAGGCAGTGGTGGATTTCAGTAGGAACGGTGTGGGTATGAATGGGTACCTGCCCTCCATTGGCTGTTGAGATGATCCTGGTCGTGCCCCCACACTGCTTCACATACCACAGGAACCAGAGAGCAGAGACCTCATGGGTCTCCGCAGTGACACACAGGTTCACAAAGAGAGTAGCAAGATCCTTCGTAGATCTGCTCAGGAAGAAATGAGAGCAAAATTGGCAAATGCAGGAGAGCATCTTCTTCAGTCTCTGGAAATTATTCAAGCAATAAACTTACTTGGCTACGTGGAGTACAATTTGGCAAGTTGCAGAAAACTGTCACTAGAATCGAATATTATAATACATGATATCAGAAATTTGGGGAATATGAGATTTCTTTTCCCCTTAATCAAAATGCCTAACCCAGAATCAGCTTGTATCTCATACTTTGTGCTGTTCTGATTTCTCCTCACACACTTGCTACTCTTCGAGTGATCCCCATCTTAGTAACAGGCATCACCATTCACCCAATTGCTAAGGCCAGTACTCCAGAAATCAACCTTGATTTCTCTTTCCATCACTCTCCCCGCATCCAATCCATGAGGAAGTCCTGTTGTCTCTCACCACATCACTCCATCTTCATCATCACCAATTTCACATCATCTCTTGCCAGGATTATTGCAATGATTTCCTCCAGATTGGTCTCTCTGAATCCACTTGTCCCCACAGGATATCTATCTACCACACTTGAAAGCAAAAGCTTTTTATCACCCTCCCCTCTATCCATTGTGCTCTTTCTAAAGTGTAAATCAAGTCATGTTATTCCCTTGCTTGAAACACTCCAGTGGCATCCTAGCAAAACCGGAATAAGATTCAGATCTTTCACCATGGCCTCCAAAGTCCTAACTGATCTAGCCCATGCCTACTTTTTCTATCTCATCCTGTATCTTCTCTGCTTATTCTAATGGCTCCTCAGAAAGATGAACTTTTACATGTCTACAAAAATCAACACCAGCTTCCACATTCCCAGCACCCTGGCATTTTCTATCGTTTTGCCATAGAACAGTATTTTTAACACTCTTTTCACTGTCTTGAATGATCTTAATTATTGGTTTATTATTTTTTCTTGCTGTTGCCCCCACTAGAATACCAACCAGTAAGGCAGTGATCTTAAGTTTCTTGCTCATCATAGTGTCTTCTTTAATAAAATAGTATCGGGCATACGGTAAGCATTTAATAAATTACTTGTTAGATAACCGAATGAATACATGAGTAATGAGAAATATCAATTAAATATTACTTTTAAGTGATCCATAATATACAAAGGATATGCTAGGTGCTGTACCACGCCCAGAATTAGTCACAGTTATCTCTTCAGTTATGATAACCTAATGGGAGATCAGCTCAAAGAATGGATGAGAGAGAAAAGTGATGAACAGAGTAGAGATGAGCAAACTTTTGCTTGAGGTTGGCAGGTAAATGGCGAGAGGTTACTCCCTCTCTGGAGGCACACCAGAAAGTGAATGATCTCATGCAATTCCAACAACTCAGTTAAATCTCACAATCCCTAGGGGGAAGGCATAGCTCAGTGGTAGAGTGTGTGCTTAGCATGCACAAGGTCCTGGGTTCAATCCCCAGTACCTCCATTAAAAATCAACAAACCTAGCTACTTCTGCCCCTCAAAAGAAACAAATAAGTCAAACAGATCCTAAGATTTGCCAGTAGTAATGAGCACTCTGGGGTTGCTTTAATTAGGACCCATCCCCCTTTTGACGTTGGCATCAAGTTTGCGTGTTATTGGTCTGGTTTTACCTGAGGCAGAATTTGCCACCTGGTAGTGCGGACAATGGGTGGAGTAAATAATAACTATCTTCCATGTATTGAGCTCTTTCTCCATGGTCCTTAAACCTATTGTCTTATCGATTTGTCATAAAAATAACGGTTGTGATTTTGCCCCAGTTCACAAGCCCAAAAACTGAGTCTCAGGGAAGTTAATCATATGTAGTACACAGCTCACTAAATGGTACAACTTCAACCTAGATCATACCTGATCCCAACTTCTTGATTTTAGTACCTCAAAATGCTTTATAATTAGGCTGCTGACAACCTTGAAGGTATAAACCCTTCCCAAGGGACTCCTCTCTACTCTAGTGTTCCTTGACTCTGGAAGTTTGTAGAATCACATCTAACCCACATAACCAGTTGCTTGGGACAATGTCTGCAACCCTAACAACCTGGTAGCACTTTTGTGACAGTCCCCATCACTAAGCCTGCATTAGGTGTAATATACATGTTGACATGACTTAGAATTAGGTTTGCAAGATTCGTCATGATAACTGAAGGGATGGAAAGTGCTGACTCATGCTTTCTTCGCAGAGGCAATTTTTGGCATCTGTCTAAAGCAAATATTCAAGCGTTGGTTTAAAATACTACCTCAAAGTGAAAATATCCTTTGCTGTTTCCTGATGTCCTGTTTCCTTTGCTCCTTATTTTATAGGTGAATTTGGGCATATAAGGGAAAGAGAGTTATAAATAACTAAAACCTAATGTTTCCCTAGCTAGCTAGCCAATATTAAACATAAAAATAGTACTGCAATTTGAGCTGTTATTGTTGCCAATTTGATGAGAAAGAAATAACCCTGGTTTGAAATCGAGGGAGAGGTAAAAGTAATTCTCTCGGGAGGGCCAGGCCATTCTTAATCCTTTATTTGATTTACTCTGGGAGCTTCAGTAAGAAAAGAAATGAGAACAATATCTGAGGGATGGAAGGTCAAGGAAGCTAGTGCAATATTTTCGTGTTCTTTGCCCTGCTGACTTTTGAAGTGATAAACGTCATTATATTTTCTAAATGAAGGCTACATACACATTATATAAAATTTGGAAAATTCATAAAAGGAAAAGGTGAGAGGAGTAGCTTTCATATTTCTGTCACCCCCCTCAAAGATAACCCATAGATTCATTTTGGTGCATTTTTTTTTCTAGTTATAGGCTTTAAAAAGTGTATTTATCTAGCTGTGACCACACAGTAAATTTAATTTGTGTTTCTGAAAAGCACTTTATAAATGATAATAATAGAAAGAATGATCAACGTTAGACTTTGAATGTATGATTGTGCTCCGGGGATTATTTCCTTTAAAATCAGGAAATGATATCATGTTTATCTTGCTTAGGAAAAGTTAAAAAATTACCTTGTGTTCATATACTCCTAGCATCTCAGAATACTTTATTTTGTCAGCCAACAATCTAGAATATTCACTAAGGGGAGGACTAGGCCAAGGACTGTGGCAGAAAAAGTCTGATTTCTATGAGACCAAAGAAATATGATTAGTCCTAACTTCAATGAGCTTCAAAGCTCTCTGGAGAGAAAAGGCTTAACTGAATTTATTAAAAGCTTTTTTATAATAGAAGTTACAAAACAAGTGCCGATAATTGAATACTCACTATTTTTTGAAAATCTCATGTATAAAATTTAAAAGTAAATACTGCAATTTTATTAGCACAAACTAACTTGTATTATAAACCGACACTCTCAAAAAAAGTGGTAAATGGCGTCAGATGAATGTTTAAAAGGATGTAATTAATAATAGACATTGATTTCATGATCGTAAAAGGGTTTTATTCCAAAATTGGTTGCTTTCAAAGGTCGAAGACATAAGAGAAACACATGTTCATCATAGAATATTATATAAAATAAATAACAATAATGATGAAAAACTGGACATGACTAAAATGTCCAATGATAATAGATAAATACATGGTATTCACTTTCCATGGAATATTCTGCAACCATGAAATATGATGTTTGATGAAGAATCTTAATGACATGGATAAATGTTTGATGGTAATATTAAGTGTTCAAAAACATTCTGATGGATTTCCATTGCTCACAGTGCATATACAGTTTTTTTTTAGAAATGAGATCATATATCACTGTACAGACTTGATGACAGCCTGCTTTTCTATGTTTAATACCATGATTTTTTTCAAGCCATTAAGTATTCTTCTGCAACATAATTTTACAAGACTTTAGAGTATTCCAGCTTTCAGATGACCCATAATTAATTTAACCAATCTTCTATTTCAATTTTCCTTTTAAAAATAATGCTTTGAATCTCCCTCTCTCCCTTCCTTTCTCTTCCTTTCTCCCTCCCTGTGTGCCTTTCTCCCTCTCTTCTTTTCTCACTCCTTCTTTAAGCTAAATTCTAAGAAGTTGAATTTATATATTAAGAAGTATGTAAATTTCATGTCTTTTGGTTATTTCCATATCTTAGATTCAGATAGCCCTAAAAACGTTTTACTTCCAGTTGTTAGTGCTTCAACTTCCCTCGCCAGTGCCTAGGGGAATGAAGACATCAACTCCCCGGCCAAACATATTCCCAACTAAAGCTGTTTCGCATGGGTGGACAGTCTCATTACAATTCCATTTTCTTACTTTGCTCACCACAAATTCACCACGTGCTTGAGATGGGACCCTGACCATCCTTTCCTTTTTTCCCTGCTGTCCAAGAGGGAAGCCTCTGCACGTTGTCTGACTATATAGCCGACCATAATTGAATACTTGACTCATCAACACTTTCTTTCAACGCTCCATGTTTCTCCCTGATGAAGAGTATGTCATACATGTTTCCTGGACAGTTGTGAATTATCCAGAGAACTTACTGAAGTTCCCTTTCAAAGCCTTGAAGAGTTGTACTTCATTCCGTAAGTGTTTTCAAATGCACGTGCTAATGCACTCTCCATACTTGACCCCCAGTGAGGAGCACAAAAGTGAACAACTTGATAAATGAGCTCTTTATGCTTGACTGTCTTTAAGCTGTTCTAAATAAAGGAAGTGGCTCATTCTGGTCTGTTCTGAGGACTCTATGGGGTAATATCGCCTTTGTGATGCAAAACTATCCCAAAGAAGTAAATTTGAGGTAGAGATAGCTTTAGGGCAAGAAATGGTTCCCATGTTTTTCAGCATTCCACCTGGCCAAATGGTGTGGTTTTAGCCACAAAGCAACTGCTTGTTTCATATCCGCTGAATGGTGTCACCAAATAGAACTGAAAGAGGGTCACAGTAAATGCCTGTGCCTAATGGTGAGTCTTACTTGGTCCAGCAGATCTTGTCCAGTAGCTCCTTCATTGTCATGTTGTCCCACTTTTCGGCAAGGGGTGCCTTCCATGGGGCATCACTGGGAATCTACATTCAGAGGAGGATTCAGGGGAGAAAAAAATGCAATTTTCCACTTGAGATAACTATTTTGATAGTATTAAAAATTCTAACTTAAGGAAGGAAAATGCAAATTTTCCAGATTCCCCCAAGAGTGGTTTTTACCGCTCAACCAACGTTGTCTGCGTAGCTTCCCTATTCACTCAGTCTATATTTAATTTATGAGAAGACTTCCTATGCAATAAATGGAGGCTATGTTGTCATCAGGCTGTTTCCAAATATCAACTACTAAGTTACTGATTTAGAGACAACAATTCGTAAGTTCAGCCCCAAAACAGGAATCAGACAGTTGCACCAAATCATGTCACAATTAGAGTGTGTTTACTTATGAGTTGCAGGTTTGAGGATGGTAGTGACTCAAAGACCCAGAAATCTTATTTGCTATGCCCTGACAATTTTCTAAATTAGAAACATCATCCCAGGAAGGCTGCATGATATAAGATCTTCCCCCCGACGCCATCAGCAGTATGGAAACACCAGTTTGTTGGACATCTCATTCTTTTAGAGGTTACATACAAGTTCATTCATACATCTCACAAATCTTTACTGACAGTTACTATGTGCTATACCATGTGCTTGGCACTGGTGACATGTTTCACTTTCTTTTTTTTAAAAAATTTTTTGGGGCGGAGGGGAGGAGGTAATTAGGTTTATTTATTTACTTAATGGAGGTACTGGGGATTGAACCCAGGACCTCGTGCATGCCAAGCATGCACTTTACCACTGAGCTCCACCCTTCCCCCTCACTTTCTTTCTTTTAAGGACTAAACTTAAGAATGGAGAATACAAATGTTGTCAAAAGACAAAGAAATTCTTGATTTCTTTGACCTAAGTTTTAGGAAGCTTTACCTCTTGTCCCATATTATCCATCGTCCTCCAAAGGTTGTTGTGGTCTAATAAGACAATTGGATTCCATACAGGTGGGAATGGGCCCCTGAAGGGGTATGATTTGCCCTGCGAGAGACAAGATATTTTTAAAAGGATACATTTACTACAATGTCAAAGTCGTTTAATATGCCAAGTCGTTAAATATCTGCAAGCGAAAACCATGTTATCAATCTGTGATACACAGTCAAGTGTTTTAGTTCCTTGTGTCCTCAGAACCCAACTTAACTTTTTAGCATAAAGATTTCCAGCAAAATTCTCTGTTAGCTAAATAAATTTGCTGCCACACCAAACACAATAAGAAGGTTTTCCTTTGAAATTGGAACGCTTACCAAGTAAAACTTCAATGCCAGTACAGGAGTGGGGTTACCTAAAGTAATCTCATTTGCCAATGATACTTGCAAATATCTTAGCGCAAGGAGACCCTGTGTGCCTGGAAGGTCAGAAAATGACAACTATAAATATTATACAAGTTAGAAGGGGATGAGAAACCAATTGCAGGAATGCAAGCATCTGTAGGAAAAGCCACGAAACATGGTCCAGCAAGCTTCCGCAAGGAATCAGATGTGATAAGTCAACACAGGAGTTCCCAGAGATGGACAAGGTTAAAATAGAAAGAGACAACTTCAAGGCTCTCCTCGGGACATGTTTATACTACCTGGTTCTCCCAGAAGAGCAACAGAAAGATAAACGGCATATTTCTCAAGGATTAATAATATGGCAGCCTATAAGTCATCTCTGGGAGACTAACTTGTTGGTGGCAGTTTAGGAACATGCACAAAAACCACTTTAGTTTCATTTGAAAACCTGAGTCAGAAGTCAGGCTGTTATAAAAAAAGAATGAAATAATGCCATTTGCACCTACATGGATGGACCTAGAGATTATCATAAGTGAAGAAAGTCAGACAGAGAAAGACAAATATCATATGATATCACTTATATGTGGAATCTAAAAAAAAAACTGATACAAATGAACTTACTTACAAACCAGAAAGAGACTCACAGACATAGAAAACAAACTATGGTTACCAAAGGGGAAGGAGATGGGGAGGGATAAATTAGGAGTTTGGGATTAACATATACATGCTACCATATATAAAACAAACAACAAGGAGCTACTGTAGAGAACAGGGAACTATATTCAATAGCTTTTAATAACTTATAATGGAAAAGAATCTGAAAAAGAATGTATATGTTTATACATATATGCAAAACTGAATCACTTTGCTGTACACCTGAAACTAACACAACATTGTAAATCAACTAGACTTCAATAAAAATAAATAGATAGATAAATAAATAAATAAATGTCTGAGCAGGGCTGGGCTAGGACCACAGAAGAAGGGATTCAGGGTGGCTTTTGAAAGTCCAAAGCCCCGATTCAAACGGGCTTTGAAACTTGATAACTGTGTGACTACAGGCAAGTTGCTCAACATTTGTGTCTCTTATCTTTAGATGTGGAATAATGGTACCCATGTCACAGGGGTATTGTAGGATTACACACAGCCAACAGGATGCACTCACTAACTGGAGGCTGCTGACAGTTCTGGAATCATGATGAATGTCCTGTCATTTATACAGCCACTTCTTAGCCATGAATCCATGTCCACATTTTTGATTAATCTCCTTTGGGTAAATTCTTAGGATCAGAATTCCTGGCATGATGATTTATGTTTGACTTTTTAAAGCAGACTTGCTGAAAACCAGCAACCCACTCGATTATCACATGGCCTTATTTCGTAGCCTGTGAGCCTCAGAGGGCTCAGTAAAAACATCTGAAGTCTACCTCCGCAAACCTCCCCCCACTCAATGAGCGGGCCAGTGGCTCTCAGAGACAGGCTGGCTTGGCGACACGTGCATCACTAACATCAGTTTCGATGCTCCAGATGTCCTGCTCTTCTCCTGACCCTAGTTCTCTAGAGACAAAGACCCTGATTTCTGTCCCACCTGGGAAGCCCTTTTGCCCTCTTAGTCCCCATGCAGACCCCAGCCTCTGCAGTAGGAAGAGGTGGCCTGGCCTTTCTTAGATCCAGCTTCTTGGCAGTGAGTTTTCCCTCTTGGAGCATCTCCTCTGCTGTTCATGGGCATCTTGCCTTCCTCACTGCGGGAAGCTGGAGCAGGCCACCGAGCCCTCTAGAACTCAATCATTTTTACAGCTATTGGCAAGGACGATGCTTGGGCCACAAACAAAATGGCAGGACCAAGCTGAACTTTTGATCTCTGTTTCCAGTTTGGAAGAAAAGAAATTTCATCTTCTTAATGGGTGAGGAGAGGAGGGAGCTCAGACTTAAGCAGATGGCTTTCTTCCTCTGTTCATGGGCTCACATTTCAAAGCCCCCGGAGCCTGGCGGCAACACTGTCTTCTGATGGCATCATCACATGCGCAAAGCTGGAGGGAGGGACAGACAGAAATGGCAAGGATTTGCGGACAGGCCAGCAGCCCTGTAGCCCAGGAAAGGTCTGGGATTGCCCATGTAGGGATAAATGGGGAAGATGGGGATGGTAGTGGCTGAGAAATTAGGCAAAGGCCTGCAGGAATAATAATAACAAAAAATAATGATAACAGCCAAGAGTGTTTCCCCAGTTCAGGCCTGGTTCTATTCACTGTGCATGTCTGGATTCATTCATCTTCACCGCCACCCTTTCGGATGCAGAAGCTGAGACACAGACAGGTGAAATAATTATCCTTTGCTCAAGGTCTCACAGCTCCTAAGTGGCAGCAGAACTGAAATTCAGACATTCGAAGGTCAATGCTCTTGATCGTGAAACTTCCCAGCCTGTGAATTATAATTATTGAACACCATTTGTCGGACATTAGGTTAACAGTGTTTATTAAATTATTTATTTTAATCCTCACAATAACCCAGTGAGCAAACTGCTTACCGTATGTTTCACTTTACAGATGAGTTCTGAAGCAGAGAGAGGTTGAGTAACTTGTCCAAAGGTCACACAGCTTGTACCCAGTGGGATACATTGGGTTAAATAAAATACACTATTAAACATATATAATTACAAAAGGCCACAAAGACCCTTGATTGTGGTGGATGTGTTCACTATCTTGATTGTGGGGATGGTTTCACAGGTGTATATACATGTCAAATCTCAAACTATACACCTTAAACACGTGCAGTTTATTATATGTTAATTACACCTCAATAATGGTGTTGAAAATTCTTTATTAGTGCCTCCATTGTTACCTGAGAGGATTAACAAAAGCTAATTTCACCTGCTTATTTTTTTCAATGTGGCTATCAGAAATTTTTCAATGACATAGATCAACAAATATTTCCTGAACACCTCCTATGTACCTGTCACTGTCCCAGGTTCCAGGGGCACAGCAGTGAGGGACAACAGACAAAAATCTCTACTCTCCTGGGAGCTTACATTCTAATAGGTGTAAACAAAATAAACTAACCAAACAGAGGCTAAACAAAATAAAGAAGACAATCATGTAGTATATTAGAAGGTGCTAAGTGCTAAGAAGAACAAGAGAAAGTGTGCTGGTTTGGGGTTGATTGTAATTTTAAATAAATAAGGTGGTCAGGGAAGGCTTCACTGAGAAGGGAACACTGGACCTTCCATGGTGAGAAAAAAAAGGATTTAGATTATTCAGAGACAGCACTTTAGATTTTACATACCCAAAGGAGAAAGAAAAAAAAAGTGGGAGGAGATCACTTCAGCCCGAGGCCCCAGCAAATGTCCTGAGAAGGACCTTGTGGGTAACAGAAAGGAGGCCAGCTTCATGTTATCTCTTCTTCTGCAGGGATGGCTCTCAAGGTTACCAGAAGAAGGTGGCAGCCAGGCAGATGGCCTCTGCTCTCCGGTCAGGGAGTCTCCCTGATCTCAGCGGGTCACCCTCACCACCCATCATTGCTGCATCTGCCCTTGAAGGCTCTTTGCCGTCTAGATTCTAGCAGTGCAAACTTTGAACTCCTTTCTATGCCCAGCTTAAGACTCACTTTCTTCCAGAAGCCTTCGGAAATTCACCTCCCTTTCTCCCTTCCCCCGACAGTGCTCAAAACGAAGTTCACCCCATTTTGAGTCCTTACCCTATCAGCTTGTACTGGCCCGTGTTACTTTGATATCATTCTCGAGGTAGTCCACGTGGGTTTTCCTTCTTCCTCCAGCTACTTCAGGAAAAGAGACAATCATTTGCCTCCTTTCATATTAATGCTTAAGAGTGCTATATTTTCAATGGATGTTTGACAAGTGTTGGATGATTGGATGAATGGATGGATGGATAGATGATTGATTGAATGAATAATGCTGTAGCTGAATGTATTTTTTAATTGAAGTACAGTCAGTTACAATGTGTCAATTTCTGGTGTACAGCATAATGTCCCAGTCATGCATATATATTACAGCTGAATGTTTGTGTCCCCCCTGCCAAGTTCGTATGTTGAAACCTGCCCCCCACTGTGATGGTATTTGGAGGTGGAAGTCTTTGGAAGATGAATCATCCTCATGAATGAGATCAGACTTTCTTATAAAAGAAAGTCTGGAGAGCTTTGGCTAAGCGAGGACAGACACAGTGAGCAGACAGTAACACCAAATCTGCCGGTGACCTTGATCTGGGACTTCCCAGCCTCCAGAACTATGAGAAATAAATTCCTGTTGTTTATAAGCCACCCAGTCTATGGTATTTTGTTATTGCAGCCCAAACTGACTAAGGCAAACAGTGTCAAAATAAGAAGAGGCATTCTTCAGGGTCTGAGACAGAAGTCTGCCTGAATGTTTTTTAAACACAATGAAAATTAATTTCTTCTGGAAAAAAAATTAAAGTAAGTGTTTAAACTAGGAAGCTGAACGTTGTAATTCTTCCCCCGCAAAGACCTAATCCGTATCTTTGTCCTCTTTCCTTTCATAATCTGTTGTAAATACACCAGCCAGTGGAGACAGGGGATTCCACAGGGGAGCGTTTCCAAAATTAGCCCATACATTTACCTCAAAGAAAAAGAGTGTGTTAAGAAGGATGCCGGTACATTTCCAGCTGTATCACGTTGCAAACCATAGGGACATTCTACTGATGTCAAGAAGCTGTTTCCAAAGCAGAATAATGCCCACAGCTA